AGCGATTTCACTTAAGACTCCATCTCAAGTTGCAGTCGAGTAGAGAAGAGTGTGTGAAGCTGTAAACCAAACATGGTGCGAGGTGGTTTAACTCGATGTACAGGAGGTGCTGTGGGAATTAGATGCGCACACATGAACTATCATAACATTGTCTTTCTCCGCAATGTTTCACTATAGCTTTAACTTGTGTTATGCCATGTTGCCAGGTTCTAAGTGTTGGACCCACTCAGGACTGAAAGCTTTTCCAATACAACTCATTTCATTTTTAGGTCAAGATTATTGATTTAAAAATGCGGCTTGAAATGTTTGAAGTGGCCGGAGGTTATGCGATATTTATTCCATGAATTTGATTTAATGTTTTTGGTCCATCATCTCTTTCTTCTGCAGGATGAAACGAGACTGCTGCGGGTTAAGGTCATTGCCGGGATGGATTTGGCAAAGAAAGACATCATTGGAGCCAGGTGAGCGTCACATGACTCTTTTTTTAAGGACACAACAGAAGATGCTGCCTTATTGGAGGGTTCTTAGTTCTTACGCTGCTGTCCCACTTCAATGTCATCATTGACGGAATGGATGTCAAGGGCCTGGTCACCGCCTCTGACATTGCACTTCTTTTGGCCAATCTAGTCTCATATTTGAATATGTCGGCTGCTTTCCAGCTCGCTAAAGATCAAATGTGTATTGTCATTTTTATAACTGTTTTGTAACTATCAACATGTATATGTGGGAGTCCTGTAGTCTTTGACCACACTCCTTGTCCCTCCAAAGACCTTGAACTCCGCGTGTTAATCAATGATTACCTGCTTCTCGTATACTACTCATAACCTCTATTACAGCTTTTACAGATAAAAGCGTTTGACTAATAATTATACATGCCCACATACTTTCTCACACGCAGGAAGACACTGTTGTTAAATTAAACTTTGCTGGGTCTTTGTCACGTTATGGTCATCAAGGGGCCATTTTCTTCTGCTGTCAGACCTCCTGTCTCCTTGTGCGATTCTGTGATGAAGCGTAACCCACTGTTATCACAACTTGTATGCAACGTTACATAATATCCCTCTGTGGAGGTGTATTTCAAGTCTGTGTATGATAGTTTTCTTTATTTTTATCAGGGCTTTGAGTTCTGCCCTCTCAATTTTAATTGCCTATTTCTCTGTACTTGCGTTGTTAGTACAGCGTGATCAATTAATACTACTCAGCGTGACCGTCAATCATTGCTAAATCAGATATCATTTTATTTATGTGCTCTTAGTCCAGGCCATCATTCTGTCCAGGGTCCAACTTTAAGGATATCATCTGTTTATATTGAATGGCTTTGGTTTGATTCACTGTGCACATTCATGTACTTGTTTCAGCCAGAAGGACCAACCATCCTTTCTGCTGTAGATTTGTTTTACCTTCATGAAGTCATAGGCTGCCATTATTTTTCAAAAACCACACTGGTATTGATGCCATATAGCCAAAATAAAGTCAGATGTGCAGGAAGAAAGTAAAATTAATGTAGAGCTTGTTAAAATCAAAATGTTGTCTAGGGATCCACATATAATTCAGTGTCTACAGTCATGTTGCTTTTTTCCCGTCTTGACAAACTGCTCCCATGAAAACTAATTTTCGGGAAGGAGACAAGAAGGAGTCTCAGTGCAGCCTGAGATACAGTAGGCCCATTGTTTTAGTTTAGTCACAGCACATCCCAGAACCACACAAACACACAATTAGAGGCAGTGGTGTGTCTGGAGACGTTAATTAACAATCAAGCAACAGCATTTTCGCTTTTGGTACTTTTTTTTTTTTTTTTTAAATATTTGCCATCCCATCTGCATTTCTCCTTTTGCTTTCTCTCAGCAACTTCCTTAGAATCAATGTAAGGCTGCGCGCCAACTGGCAGGCCAAATCTAATTTTGGATATATTCAGGCTGGAATTGGATTGCTGCTTATATCAAGTCTGGATGGCAAAAAATCCCCAGGAAACTGATTTATAGCAAATCAGATTGAAAAAACACATTCATAGATGGCTTGAAATGTGATACAATTCAAATGTCTACCTTGTGTGCTCAGTCTAGCCACTGAAATAAAAAATAAGTAAATTTATTACTCAGGAAATGCAACACGTAACACCAAGTTCTTACACAGAGCCTGGGAAAAAGAACGATTTTAAGTCCCTCATCCCTCCTAATCATCTGGGAAGATTGAAAGCGAGATATTATGTTGGTGTGTGAAGAATTAAATATTACGTCTGGCCTCGTGTAGCCTGCCGCTTGCTGTTTTAGCCTGCCGCTTGCTGAGAAGCACAACCAGTCCATGTGTGTCCTGAAATAACTTCTATCAATGTATCAACGCACATCATGTAACGTGGCGCACACGTTGAGAGAAGTTATTTCAGGATGCACAGTAGATGGAGCAGAAACGGGAGCTTTATGGGAAACTTTGACACCTCTGAAGTAGACGATAAGCTTGATGAGTCGGGTAATCCATTGGTCACACAAAGCAAGACTTTTGTTGATGTTATGTTGGGCTCCAAACGATAAATCTGCATCAAAAATTGTGAAACCGTTCTTGTAGGTATAAGACTGGTGAGACGTGTTTCTTCTCATGGAGGTTTTTGGAGAGGGTATAACCTGCCACTGTACCTCGTGTTGCCTGTTGGGACTGAGATCAGGAGAGTAATTGGTCTGGCTGCTGAATAGTGCAGCTCTACCTCTCTATCTACAACTGCCTGGGGATTTTCTACCCCGTCAGCACCTTTCAACTAAGACCAGTTGGCTATTTTTAAACCGCACGCTCACATACTGTGCTTACTATTTGCGCCGCTCACCTCAAAATGTTTGTCACTTTCTATTTTTACCACTCTTGCTATGTCAATAACACATTATAAGCCTTAATCTCGCAATGCCCAAAGCAAGCAGCTTTCATCTGCTGGCCTGTTGGTGGCAGAGGCAGACTCAACGTTCAGGTCTGGAAACAAGCTGTGTGTCAGAGTGTAGGTAGCCTGGCAATCTGGGCTCTGTGGACACAGTTAATAGGACTAACTAAGGCCAGGCACACTAGACTGTACAGATACAGTATGTTTTAAAGCGTGTCCTAGTACAGAGTATTAAAAACAGCCAAGTACTTAAAGTTGCCACTAATACGTGGTCAGATTTTTGCTTTTTATCATCGTGTTGTTCATAGTATTTTGGCTTATTTTCTAAATAGAAAGATATTGAAAAAATATTCTTTTGGTATTGGCATTGAAGTGTATGTATCTTGTCAGCAATGCTTTATGTAAATATTATTTGGGGAATATACTCGTATGACTGTGTAAAAGGCTCAGGTTTTCTCTACTGATTTTGTTTCTGCAGCGACCCTTACGTCAAACTTTCCCTCTATGTTGCGGATGAAAACAAAGAGCTTGGCTTAGTCCAAACAAAAACCATTAAAAAGGTAAGTCCTGAGGTAAGAAGTGCCTTTTGATGCATGCGTCTGCGGCTTCCTGTGTTCTGCACAGGGCTTTTGGCCCGTAAGTTTCAGACCTAATGAACTCTGATGTTTGCACAGTGTCCGATTGGCCTTTCCTGCCGCAGTAATCTCCTCCCACACCTGCACCTTGCCTTTATCATTAGCTCCCTTAAATCAGAGGTTTTTTAGGTCACCTGATCCTCCTAATCCCACCACCAACACGTCTACCGCCCGTCCTTCAAATCAAGACAGTCTGATCATCTTGAGAGATGGAAACCACAGGAAGGCAGTGATTCCTGTTTCTGCTCACTAGAGTGTAGAGGGAGACATTGGGCAAGCTCTTTCCCCCCCAGTGGCCTATTCTGGGGAGGAAATCTATTCACAGCAGGGGGAGCTATTACTTGTTAATAGTGTAAACTCCACTCGGACGATGTTTTAATGTGCAAGTGGGCTGTGATTGTGAACCAAATGTCCATATTTGTTGCTTGTGTTGTGGAATGCTCTGGGCTGTAAGGTTTTAAAATGAAGTCAAGAGAGAGTTCTGCATTAGATGCTATTCACATGCAATGCGGGTTATTCCATAACATGTTACATAATAAACAGATGTGAAACCCCAGCGAAGCAGTTTGCTTCTAACACTGTGAAGCAGCCTGACTCTGTTTCTTATTTCATTATAGATTTCTCCTTTTCTCGGTAGTTAAGCTTCGCGAACGTGTAGCTGCCAGCCAGCCCTCCGCTGCAGTCGGGCAGCTCAGGCCTCCGTGCAGGCAGACATATGCTGCCAGTGGCCATGGTTGCCTTACTGGGTATAAGTAGCTGACAATGCACTGCTATGTGGAGCAGAAAATGAAGCATCACTGCTCGGCTCTTCCATGGGCTCCATGTGTCTTTAAGTAGGACACCTTTGATGGAATCTTTGTCGTTGAAGCGAAGAGGACGGCTTGTGGCTGGATGGCATCAAAAAAAGAAGAGCCAGTCTGAGACGAATATCAGTAACGAGAAGCCAGCCTATCACCAAGCTTTGATATTTGACAGACTTCTGCCCAGACAGGGCACTGGGTTCATTTGTAGTTCCTGCTTTCTCAGCAGTGGATTTAACGGGGACATTATTTTATCGTTGCCGTAAAATGTCGTGAAGCGTTTATTAATCGGGGTGACCTGTGAAATTAAGGCTTCATTGACATTCTAGTGTTTAAGTCAATTCAATCAATGGAGGAATTTTCACGAGATGTCTCGCATAGTTCTCAGTCCAATAAAAGAGAGTCTGTGCGACGCGTGCGTACACGCACACACACTGACCTGAGGGGATGAAAATCCTGATGGTTTTTAATCTCGGGACTACTGCCAATCACCGGGACATGTTGTTAGCCACAAACTTCCTCTAACAGCGTAAGAGGATCATAGATGCACAAGATCCAGTCCAATTCCTCATTAGGGCTCTCTTGTCTCACTCCGAGTTGGATCGGTTTCATACATCTGGTCTGTTTATCTATGTAAACTAATGATAGTGTTTGCTGTTAATTATTTATCAGCCTAAACCACATCTGCACTTTCTGTTTCAGACGCTCAATCCCAAATGGAACGAGGAATTCTACTTCAGAGTGAGTTCAGGTTTTGAACTCTTTGTGTGCTTCATCATGTGTCTACCCAGTATCCTCCACTACGACGGCCTGTTGTTTCACTTGTTTACTCTAGAACGGTAGTGTCAGAGCTCAGTCCCACCTCCCCCCCACCTCTGTAATCAATAGACCATATCAGACTTATGCATCTACGTTTGCTTTGTGGTGCCACATAACAACTGGGTGACCGCTGTGTGTTTTGTTTCCAACACAGGTGTGTCCGCAGAATCACAGACTACTCTTTGAGGTTTTCGATGAAAACAGATTGGTAAGATTCACACTTTGTAACCTCTCACGTTTCACTCACTCTGTTGAATACATCACACATGATTTAGTCTAATTTGAGTCTAGTTTGAGTCACGTTTTGACACGTTTTGATTTACTGAGTTCCAACCACAGTGAATCTCGTGTCTCTTAATTTACTTCACGCAGTTTGTTTGCACTTCAAACTATTGGGACATTGTGTTGACTTTATCTGCACCCCTGTGTCTGCAATGTGTCACCCCTGTGTCTTCACAGGGGTGACACATTGCCAGATTTGATATTACCGGATGTCAGCTGTAGTGTAAACAATTGAAATGCATTGCGGTACTCGTGGAAGAAGCGTGGCCATAGGCAGTGTACGGCCGGTTTAGTTTCATTGCTCTACTTTAAGGCTGTAGTCCACTAACAACTCCTACATTCCCTCTTATGTTGAATTTCCACCACAGTAGTTTCATTGACTTGTGAAATGAAGTCTGTTGCAGGCCCTCAGTTGCCATGAGAACTAGATCAAATGTCTGCACGATGTCAAGAGTTGCAGCAATTAAAAACTGCTCGAGTAGGTCTTAATAATCGATTTAATAATTCACGCTTTTGAATAACCATCACCTTGGTGAACCATCTTCGTTGACATAATGAAGACATTGTTCTGTGGAAGCAGTGAAAGGCTTCACTCGAAGCAGTTTAGGTCGTCAGTAGTACGTTTTTCATGCGTTCTCAGTAATCTTTGAGGGTCTGTGTCTTGATGTGCGATAAAACAAACAGCGGATGCAGCCCCAGATAGTATTGGTGTTCTTGGCTGGATGAGGCACATTCTGGCCCGGCCTCGCAGGTTCAGGACTTCTGTGATTTTGCGTCTGCAGCACCGACGTGGGAGGTCGTAAGATTTGATTATTCTGCAGTTTTCCTGATAACTTAATTAAGGGAATTGCATGATTAAAATCTTGTTCAGTCACTTTAATGTGCATGCTACTGATAACATCAGTGCATACTTTAATGCGTGTTGTGTGCATGTTTGATAGAGGGGAATTACTGGCGCTCAGCCCGCTCAGAAAAGGGCAGCTCAGTTATTCCCCCTCGCTACAGTTTGGAGGTCTCTGCTGCCGTATAGAACAGGATGACACAAGAACAGCCCTCTCCTTATATGTCTGAGGAGGTGCTTCTCTGTTTATCTCTATGTGCATGCCAAGGCAGCTCCTTCCACCACTCGCCAGTATCGCTGCTTGTTCTCTTGCATCCTTTCATTTATGGTTTATTTGTCTTATAGACATGAAATGTTTGACTAAGCTCTGCGCTGCAGCACGTGTGATAGATTGGGTTTCACATATGTGTACTTATAAAGATGCTGATGCTCTAGATGCACTCAATTTCAACTAATATTCCTCCAAAATATCGGAGAACTACACGACTGACTGCTAACAGTGAATGTAAAGATACAGTGTAGTGCTTTGTTTGAAGCAGGCATGTTATGTCATTTGGCAAACTGGGCCATTGGACCACACATTGGCATTTCTTTTATACAGAACGTTCTCCATAACGTTTCACACACATTTATTGACTAACACTGTAGGCAGTGTGTCATCGCAAAGTGCAACTGGCTGCCAAGCCACGATTTCTTCTCGCTGTACAGTATTTTTCTTTTCGCTGTTCCTCTGCCTGGAGTCAATATCGCTTGTCTCCTTGATGCCCTGTTGTCCAAAATGGAGAACTTTCATATTTTAGTTTTTGTCCTCTCCCATTGTGGTGCTCCATCCGTGGCATTGGTTGTCAGCTCGTTGCAGCTTGCTTCTTGAGACAGATACGGTGACACACTGAGGACTTAACCAAAGGTCGAACCAGTCATAGAAGTGGGAACAGGCAAACTAGCTCCAAACCCCCATTTTCACGTGCTGATCCACCGGTGAATCACTGCACTATTAAGAATGCGCTCATGAACATACAGTATGTTGTGGAAATCTCTCTTTCTCTGTTTTTATTGTGTATTTTAGCCAAATACTACATTACAAGTGCGTGAGCGTCATAATTCGTGTGCTAGTTTTCAGCACTGCGGACTAAAATCCCAGCTGAGTCGTGTTTTGGGCGTTTTTTTGGATGCAAACAGAGTGGCCTATAAAACCACCAGACAGTTAAGTGTTTGGGTGTGGATGGTAGACAGCATAGTTTATTCTGTTTGAGGACTTTGATATCTCTCTCCATAGAGAATTGAGCTGTTTGCCTTATCAAAGCTGCAATCTGTCAGATATTCTGCTCTTCACTTTGCCGCTGCCTTTTTTTTCCGAGTCCATTTTTATGCTTCTTTTTTTCTGATTCCAAGCTACAAGAAGTAACGATGCTCAATTTGTGACCAGTCTACCTGTTAAATAATGATATGGATGTAGGTAGATCAGCAACAGCAGAAGGGTGATGTTATGGCCGTATGTCATTACATGAATGAAGAGATAGTTTAGAGGGTAGAGGCCACATTTACCTGTGACAAGAAATTGAGCTACACTCTGATACTCAAGATGACAGTTTTAGGTAAAATAATAAAGTGGGAGGTAATGTTTTGGGGTCTAAAAACGACCAAACCGTGTGGTCCGAGACGTGGGAACATTGGCGAGGGGTGTAGAGGCAGGGAAAGAGATCATGTGATTGGAGGAAGTGATGGACGGTGGTACGTGGGGTGTGTGTTTGGGGGCCCCAGTTGGCACTTGAGGGCAGCATGGGGTTGTAACAGGAGGTGCTGGGGCCATTTGTGGTCACATGGCTTACAGGCAACCCACTGTCACCTCGGAAACCAGGAGCGCCGGCCGCTCTTATCCAATCATGTCAGGAATGCTGGCCGTCACTCGGCTCAGGCTATTTCTGCTGTCTGTCGCTAGAGCTTGGTGGTGCTAAGAGTCTGGCATACAGGGATCCTTCTTACCCCCCCCACCCCCCTCACCCTTCCCCTCCTTAACCTCCATTATGCCATTCCTTAGAGTGCACCGTGTAAAGTTGTCAGCTCTTTATGCAGTGTTCAGTCTTGGTGGTGTGACTTCTTTCTGCCGTGCAGTTTACTGTGGAAGGAAAGTTGTGGAAGAGACTAGGAGAGGGTGGGAAGGGTGGGGGTTAGGGAGAGTGGAAGAAAAAAAAAGGGGGATCAGTCATCCAGCCAGCCAAAGGAGAGAAGTGGGCGACACTAAGAGGCAGAGACTGGAGCCAGAGGAGAGAAGCAAACAGCCAGTCAGAGAGAGAGTGAGAGGGAACAGGAGCTGTGGGACGCGAGGTGAAAATGGCTCAGCGTCTGCGTTTGTACTTTGGCTCGGGCCGCAGTAACACAGCCCCGGAGATACTGGAAGGAGACTCTGAGGAGCAGCAGGGAGACATTGATGTGGCCGAGGCGCTACGCGTGCAGCGGCCTCCGGTATCGACATCCTCTCAGGAGCCAGCTGCGCAGCATGCCCCACCGAGAGCGTCGTGGTCGGAGGCCTCTCTGAAACGCAGCTCCTCTATGTTCATACCCCAGCTCGCCGCCTACGCTGAGCCGCGGCCCACCAAGAGCTCCTCCATGCACATCTCCCTCCAGCGCTCCAACGGATCAAGTAATGGAGATTTCCGTGGTTATGCCGATGATGTCCCTCCACCCTGTTACACTCCTCCGGGACCTGCGCCTGCCTATTGTGAACCACAGATCCAAGCAGACGTCCCACGACACCCGCCGCCTCCGTACTACAGCCCAGATACTTTAAACTCACCAACTTTTATGATGGAGCAGAACCTGCCCAAACGCAGGGTCTTCAGCATTGGCTCCAACGGCCATACCATGTATAGCAGAGGCCAACCTAATATTAGTGTTGGTGGTATTTGTATCCAGAGGAACTCTCCTGATGGTTCGGACGTCCAGCATTTCAGAATCCACCCTTATGGGGGTACCGGCTGGTCTGTCCAGCAGCAGAGCTTGGACCAGTGCTCCGTTGTTAACGGTGGAACACAGAGACTAGTATTCCAGCTCCAGCAAAGTCCAAACCAGGATCAGAGCCAGGGCAGGCCAGAGTCTGCTGCAACCCAGGGAGAATGCACAGATGTTGGCGCCGCCAGCTCAAGAGGTTACCCAAGAATTCGACTGGAGCGACGCTCGTCTCAACCGAGGCTGTTGCGGGAAAGTCAACCCCAGGAAACTGGTGCAGACAGCCAAGCTACAGAGGAGATCCAGACGGACACGGAGAGAACAGAAGCAAGATCTAATGGTTGTACTTTCAAAATCCGTGGGGGTTCTTCCAGGAGGCAGCCTCATTTCAAGATCTATTTTACCCCAGGCGGAGGCGGAGATCAGGATGTTAGCATTGGCAATGATTTGACGACGAATAATCCCAAGGTAAATATTATTGGAAAACTTTAATAGGACGAGAAAAGTTTTTAAATGTAAAACGATTTTGTAAATACTGTAAAGAGATTTGAAAATGAGATAAGAAATAATTTGAATGGATGAATCGTAAACAATCACATTAAATCGTGGATGGGTCTTCTCCCTCATATGACATTTAGTTGAACACATGATAGCTTGTCTGGAGTGTAGCCAGAAGAAGGAGGGCATTTAGTAGAGCCATAGGTATTAAAAATGAGAATCAAGGTGAAAGTTATGCTACGTAAATGATATATATGCTGTGGGGGTGTCTTGAGTATTTCACATTTCATTTGTCACTCACGGAATCCAGCCCAGTTGAGGAGAGGTGCAGGAAGAGGGTGGTGGCATTCTGGGAAGTGAAAAGCACCGACATGGCTGCTGAGCTAAATCACACACACTCTGGCTTTCTTTCACTTCACAACCACAGGCATTTGAAGTTTTACACACATCGGCCAATTCAGTCATGAAAGGAAAACAGGAAATGGATGAGTGGACGATTTCTCCCCGTGCACTTGTTGCCTTCTGTTCCACAGAAATGTGACACTTACGTTTGGTAATACCCTTAACTGCAGCCAGTGCTCTTTGAGAGTTGGCCCTTTCTATCTTTAGTCCGTTTCTGGTGGGGTTGTTGATTTTGAGAGCGGGCAGGCGGCATGTCTTTGGCTCTAGACTGGTATGGATCCGTATCCTTTGCAGCTGCTCCATGAGTGATTAAGAACTAAGATGTCATTATGGGCCAAACGATGAAGAAGTTAAACAAGCCAATCAGTATCTGTTTCCTGAAGTCTTTAGATGTCGCTGTCTGTTCTCCTATCATGTATAGCTAAAGCTTTGGAAGCAGAACAGATGTGTTGTGGTCCGTTTTCTTTTTCCCCCTATATCCTGTTAATCATCTCATGACTCCTCCGATTTGTCTTGCGACCTTTGGGGCATCCCAACCCCCCAGGATGGAAGCTACTTTACTACACCAGGGAATTATAATAAATCAAACTTGAAGGTACCCTGTGGAGTTTTTCACCTTTTTATAATGCTATGGAGCAGTTTATTTATGAGTGGGTCCCCGTTTTGTAAGCAGGGAAGCACAAAATACCATCCTGCCAATAGTTCGACGTTATTCCACTGCAATGACAAAACCAATACAGCAGCAGAGGCAGTGAGGAAAAACACTCCTAGACACTTTCAGTACGAAACACAAAATTGTGTACTGTAATTTTTCGAATGTCAGCCACAATAAGGAGATGAGATATATTTTGTTGTCGTGTCCTCCGGTGCCCGAGGTTTCATCTCTAACTTGTTGTATCATGTGGATGGTGATAAACCAGTTTCTTCCTGACCTTTAAGGCCAGATAACAATACATCTGCAGTATGCAATATATTTTTTGGGTTTAATTTTGACAGCCATACGTGAATGCATTTTACACACCTTCTTCTGTCCCTTTTTTTTTTTTTTTAAAGACCTGTGGTGTTGTTACTTCAGGGCATCCCGTTTCTCATACAACAAGGAAATCCTCATTTAGACCATAATGACAGGTCTTCCCCGACTGTTAGCCTGGAGTTGGAGTACCCCTTTTTAAAGCCCTGCATGGGATACCATGAGTCTGTGTTGTCTCTATATATATATATATGTATGTATGTATGTATGTATGTATGTATGTATATATATATGTATATATATGTGTATATATATATATATGTGTGTGTGTGTGCCAGCGAGACTAGCTGGAGACAGCTACGCCACAGTGCCATGCCCTCATTACAGCCCTGCCTTGACGCCCCCCCAGTTTCCATTCACAAAGAGCTGTTGCAGGCCAACGGGTTTGCTATATTTACAGGGTTGTGGATGGATGGGGGATGGGGGATGGGGGGGGGACTCTCTTTTTATTTTGGTCCAGTAGCATGTAAGAGGGGTTCAAATTGCTATTGTTGTGAAGGGCTTTTCTCTGTCAACTCTGATCTCTGAGATCTGATGCAATGCACAGCATTGTAATTCAGTCGTGTCAGCACGGAGGCTGTTGAGTAGGTGAGACAACCTTTTCACACTTCAGTGCCAGACACGACCAGTTCAAGGTTTCTGACTATCATAAACTCTGTCTGTTACCCCCTCTTCATATACAGTGTGTGTGTGAATATGTGTGTGTGTGTATATGTATGTATGTATGTATGTATATGTATATGTATATGTATATATATATATATAT